TGAATCACTGTGTCGTACACCTGAAACTAACATTACGCTGCATGCTAACTACCTATAATTGAAATAAAAACTTATAAAAAAACTAAATAAAAATAAATACACACCAGAGTGCTCTGTTCTTAAGGAGACCTGCCTTCAGGAGAAACTGCTGGACCAAGCCTAACAGATCCTGGGCAGGGAGATAGCCAACTTTGGCTTCCACATGGGAGAAGGGAAGTCTTCAAGTTCAGCCTGCTCTGGCCATCCTGTCCCCCCTCTGCGGGGAGACAAAACAGCGGAAGGCGTGTGAAGTTCACAGGCAGGAGGCATGGGCTATAGAACATTCTCCTCCACCCACACCTCCCGGCTACGTTACCTCTTTACAGTTCCTTTTACCTGGTACATCAGGTCTGGCTATTTAAAAATTACAAGACACACTAAAAGACAAAAAAAAAAAAAAAAAAAAAAAAAACCCACAATTTGAAGACGGAAAGCCAGCATGAGACAGAGACATGGCAGGGACATTACTATGATCAGACCGGGAATCTAACACAACTGCAGATGAAGAGGGAGAATAGTTCGTGCAAAACTCCATTAACAGATGGTGTTGGGCCGAGAAGCTAATCATGGAAGGTGCTGAAAAGTGGTTGGGTTGTGAACATTTTTGGATTGTACAGCTGAGCAGTTTTATTGATGGATTAGTTGTAACTAGTGACAATACACAGAAGAACTAGGATAATTCCACGTGTTTTGACCAGAGCCATCAAAAGGACGGCAATTGCCATTTATTAAAATGGGAACTAGTGCAAGAAATCAGATTTTGTGTCAAGAGGGCAGAATTTTTACCAATACCTGAGCTTTTATCACCTGGATAATTGTAGTTTAAACTGAAGTCCTATTCACGTACGTGTTTTCCAAAGTATCGTTGCAAAGCCTATTTAATTAGAGCATTATCTCTATCAATATTTGTGCGTGTGTGTACAATAAAACACACGTGCACACTCACACAGCAACAAAAAGAGAAATACTAGCTTTCCCTTCAAATAATAGAGGACTAGTCCCCTGACTTGATTTTTGACATCCACACCACGGGGCTTGGTACATCCTGCTGTTCAGATTATTCTATTTATGACATTAAAGCCTGAGTAGATGAACAAGTGCCAAAAATAAATATTCTGCTTCCTTCACATTTTCTCTTGGCTTGAGTTTTCTAAGGGAAAAGAACGGAGCTGCAAACAGCAGCTGTGTTCTGGCCGCTGAGCCGTCAACAGACCGAAGACAAACCAGACCAAGTTTGGGGAGAGAGTAGCTCTTGCCCGGGCCGTTCCAGAAGGACAGATGTAACAGCCCCTGGGCCACACAGCAGCTCAGGACGAAAGGTGTGGTTTCCTCCGTTCTCATAGAAAGACTCAAGACATGCGCAGTCACCTTGACAGTTTATCCCAAGTTGTCCCCTTGCAGGAAGACACAGAGGGAGGCCAAGTCAGACCAGAAAACGGTCACTGGAAAAACCTCTGTTTCAGTCCCCTTAATTCTTCCGTTGTGATCTTTACTTTGTACCCACCAATTACAGTTGTTTGTGATGATCTGGAATCAACAGACTGTGAAATACAAAGTGGGAACGTTGTCATTTGGTGCCTTGGGTCTAGATAATAGACTTTTTTAAATTGCAGTATGAATGCTTTATTTAAAGTTGTGTGTGTAACCTCTGCAATAATAAAAATTTTAAAAATGGTTCAAGTAGATGAGGGCAAGGACCGGTTTGGTTTTTCATGATAGGCCAGCCCTTGAGCGCTATTCTTCCTTTGGATGTGCATGGATGGCTTTGATGGTATATATTTTTAAGTAAAGGGGGATTTTTAAAATTTGATAATTGCAATTAAATGAGTACCCTAAGCAATGTCTAGCTAATTATAGGCATAGCTCTCTATAAAGTCAGGAATATAACGAGTTTCCCTCCTACTGAGTGTCAACAGACCATTAACAACCGCAGAAAGCCATACATGGCCCCCTTTAATGGAAATGTCTATATGCAATTATCTGCTGTTCCTTGATCTTCCATTCTTAGAGGCTGAACTAAGACTAATAGGTCAATAAATGTCTGTAGATTGAAAAAATCGAAAGGTTCTGAAACTCAGATTCAGTCCCCATTAGAAACACATTGAGAAGGCCGGTTTCATTTTGGGAAGCACGGGCAATTTTTGTTCAGTCTAAATCACAGTTTATTTTCATAAGCTGATGCTTTTAAAACCATGCTGTGTTTAAGACACCAGCATCTTTTCCACTAAAAATATGAATTTCAAATTTCTGTGTCAGCCCTACTGCCAACCTTCCTGTCTGCTCTTCTGTACCACAGAGGCGCTATTTCTGGAGGGATCTGGAGGGATGCTTGTTAATAAAAATTAATACCTGGAGTCTGAATGCCTTTCTCACATTTGGGATAGGCTCCATCCTGTGAGTCCTGATGGTGGATGGGGATCTGCCTCCCTGTGGGTCGGCTTAAGCCTCTTGTGGTGGTTAGGGCATGGGTATGGGTCACCATGCCAATCACAGGCTCCCATGTAGGATTTGAGGAGGAGAGACAGTTACCGGGTCAATGAAAACATGGACATTGTTATTTAATGGAGGGGATGGTGTGTCCCCTCTTTCAGTTCCCGCCAACTCAGTAAGCCTGTTCTCCCACCTTCTGGGTGCTTTTGTAGGCGTTAGATGTCCTTCCAGTGCATTTATTTTCCTGCTTCGTTTATCAGAGTAGTTTTCCGTTGCATGCAACCAACAGGCCTCAGCGGTCAAATGACACAGTGACGAGACTCTAAAGCACACTGGACTTAACGTGCGTGCAGGGCGATGATCAGGAAATGGGCCTTAACAACATTGCTCTAACTTGTATTTTGCAGGATAAGTAATAGGGGTCTGAGAGGGAAAGGGCTAACGTTTGGGTTTAAAAGGACACCACTACTTAATTTTAAAGGAACTAGGAAGCGTTTGAAGGCTCTCCATCCACTCCACGGCCTCAGGCATGGTGTACGAGGGTTTAGAGAGTGCATACGAGATGGGTTCTCTGCTCGAGAAAATCATAAAGGTCAAGAATGACTTAGCTCATTTCTCCCTTTTTACTGTTGAAGAAGAGAACTCTACAGAGTGGCCCTGACCAGTAGTAATATAAAGCGAGCTACTTTGGTCATTTAAACATTTCCAGTGATCACATTTAAAGTAGAAAGAAACAAGTGAGATTGACTTCAATAACATATCCTATTTAATCCAAGATATCCAAGAGGTGCCTGGGTGGCTCAGTCGGTTGGGGGTCCGACTTCGGCTCAGGTCATGATTTCGTGGCTCATGAATTCAAGCCCCACGTCGGGCTCCGTGTTGACAGCTCAGAGTCTGGAGCCTGCTTCCGATTCTGTCTCCCTCTCTCTCTGTTCCTCCCCCACTTGTGCTCTGTGTCTCTCAAAAATGAATAAACATTAAAAAAATTATTTTAAATAACCCAAGATATCCAAAATGGTATTTCAACCTACAGTGTTTTTAAATGTTTAAAATTCAGTGTGTATTTTCCATTTATAGCACATCTTAATTTGGATCAGCCACATTTCCTATCCTTCAGAGCAACATGGAGCCACAGGCCACCATGTGAGACAGCAGACAGAGAGCCACTGAAGGGAAATAACAACCCTACTTTCTTTCAGATACTCGTAATTTTCATGCCTTAAGAAACAGATATTTGGCTAAAGGAAAAAAATCACTCAGTGGATTTTCAAGGCTCCCGAAACCACCAGCGCAGAAAACGTTGTATGGAGCCTGTTGCTTTAAATGAACACCTGCAGCTCTGGGGGAGAGGAGTTCATGACTCCATCAACACTTGGCCTCTGTTCCAGCCACAGCCTACAAAGCAGCCCCTTTTTTTACATTGCCCAGAAATCCTTATGTTCCGTGTATGAACCAATCACTTTTGTTCATTTCCTTTTATTCTTTGGGTATCGTTCAGAGTGGTGGAGAAATGGGGCAAAGTCTGAATGGAAATGTTTGGGTAAAAAATTCTATGGTCGAATTTAATCATTCACTCTGTGGAAATGGCTAAAGGGACATCTGGGCTCAGGCCTGCGGGCAGTGTCTGTAAACGTATTATCTGTGGCCAAAGCTCCAGAGACCATGCAGACCAGGGGGATTAACAGATTGATGACTGGAGAGAAACCTAATGACATTTCGCTAACCAGTCTATTCTCTCGCATTGGCAAAAGGCTTTCTGTTAAAGAGGATATTTGTGTAGATGGCTCTTGGAGCTTTGCATTTACGTGGTTATATGTGTGTAAAATATGGGCATTTAAAAATTTTTTTAATTCCTTTTAGAGAGGGAGGGAGAGGGGCAGCGAGAGAGACAGAGAGAGAGAGAAAGAGAGAGAGAGAGAGAGAGAGAGAGAATCTTAAGCAGGCTCCACACTCAGTGGGGAGCCCAACACTGGGCTCGATGTGGGTGTCAATCCCATGACCCTGGGATCATGACCTGAGTTGAAATCAAGAGTCTGATTCTCAACCGACTGAGCCACCAATATGCCCATAAAACACGTAAATTTTGAATTGTCTGTGAAAACTGAAGAGCTCAGTTTTAGTCGAAACTCTATAGTACGGAGTACTCCTGGGGCAGACCCCGTCAGTCCCTCCGTCTATGGCTGTATCCGTACTCTGCTTCCTCTCCCTCTTCTCCTCACTGGCACATGTATATAAGGAGATACAAGGCACACTCATACCTCAGTCAGAGCAGGTATAAACACACGTCTCTTAGATGTCGCAAGAAAAGTTTAAGTTTTAATAAATAGACACCAATTTTGGGAAACGAAATAAATGCACAAAATGGATAGGACATACATGTTTTAAAGAAACATCAGGGTACCTCGGTGGCTCAACCATTTAAGCCTCTGACTCTTGGTTTCAGCTCAGGCCATCATCTCACCGCTAGGGAGATCAGCCCCATGTCAGTCTCTGTGCTGTAGGGCAGAGACTTTCTTTTTCCTGGTATTTACTGTGGGCACCTGGTTCGGCTCCTGAAGTTAAAATCTCACAGTGTTGTGGGAAAGCCGTTATGAAAAGCGCCCCCCCCCCCCACCCCCAGAGTTTCTAACTCTGATTTGTCTGGCAATTGGTCAGTTACAACCCAGGCCTCCTACCGCAGCCCTGGTTCCTGCCTGGTTTCCACCCAGCTCCCGCTCTGGGAAGCTGTGCCTCCCTGTGTTTGCCTGCGTCCTCCCCTCTCTTACGAATCCACGAAGAGCTGTTGATTTTCATGCTTGCTGTTAGGACCCAGTGGAGACTTCCAAGCACCTTATGCGCTCACCCAGAAAGCGGAAGTCCCCTTAGCCAGGGAAACATGTTTACGTTCCCTGCTAGCTCTTCCCCCTGAATGCCAGTGATAAAGCACACGTGGCAACAGGCTGTGGTGACAGTTTTGGGCCCTGAGTCATTACTTCGCCATTCAATCTATTGCTCATGGATCGATGCTGGAAGAACTTCACATAGGTCTTCATTGAGTTCATGAAAATATTGTGCTTTTCCTAAAAGCCGGATGCTACTCTAAACTCTGGGTAGAAAGCATGAATTGCACATGGCTTCTGTTCTCAAACCGCCCATGATTTGAGGTGAAGTTAAGGGAAAAGGTTTCCCAGTGTAACCAACCCCACACCTGCTTGGACCTTCTTCTGAGATTGGACATGGGGGGAGGGGTGAAGGGCTCATGTTTTAGTTTTCAGAAGACAATGGCAGTAAATACAGTAACGCTCCAATATATTTGCATGTTGTTTACAAAGTAAACATGAGACCCCAGGCCTCTACCTTTGGAGTTCTTAGCCACACGCCAGAGAAAATGGACACCTTAATGCCAGAGAATGAAAATGTGCTTTCTAAGGTGCTAAAGTATTTTGTGACCATCTTGAGTGGTGTCTAGATTCCCAACAGCAAATAAGTTCTCGAGCAATTCTAGTTGGACCTTTGGTTAGGGCAGATGACAGTTCCTCCATTTTGGCACACTGATGGAAACCGTAGTTGGTCACTGAAATTTTCTTTTTAATGGATTTTAGAAAATTAAAAATCTCTTACAATTATTCTTACATGCTGTTTATATTGGCGTATTATGTGAGCTTGGGGAACATTAGCTTGTTTCATAAAACAATGTAATTAAGTGTTTGCAAGATTCTGAAATAAATATGGTGTTTTAAATATCTGTGTCATCCCTTTATAGATTCAAAGTTTTGTAAAGGGTGGAACTGTTTTAAGCAAATATACGATAAAACGTTGTTCATAGTAAGTCAATATCGAAGTTCAAGGTAATCACCTGGGTGGCTCAGACAGGTAAGCCTCTGACTCTTGATTTCTGCTCAGGTCATGATTTCACAATTCATTGGGATCGAGCCCCACGTTAGGCTCTGAGCTGACAGCACTGAGTCTGCTTGAGATTCTCTCTCTCTCTGACCCTCCCCCATTCTCTCTCTCTCTCTCTCAAATAGAAACATTAAAAAAAAACAATGTACTCTAGACAAAGAATTACTACCAAACAACTCTGATTACTCCTTCTACTAGACTTCATTCATTCATGTGTACATGCATTCATTCATTCATTCAACAAATTTACTGGTAGTGCCCTTGGTGGGTCAGCCATTACCAAGTGCCCTAAGAACTTAAAAATATGTCTAATAAACACTTGTTAAACTGGGGCGCCTGGGTAGTTCAGTCAGTTATGTTGGACTCTTGATTTCGGCTCAGGTCATGATCTCATGGTTTGTGAGATGGAGCCCTGCTTTGGGCTCCATACTGTCAGGGTGGAGCCTGCTTGGGATTCTGTCTCTCCCTTTCTCTCTTTACCTCCCCTGCTCATGCTCATGTGCTCTCTCAAAATAAATCAACAATTACAAAAAATTAAAAACCTGTTAAATCCATATTGGATAAATGGAAGAACAAAACATAGTACTTTGTCTCTAGTCCCTCTTCTAGTACAGAGGAGAATACAGATAAGAACCAGTCTGTTAACCACATGGAGGAGGAACCCAGTGCCCAGTTTAGGCAGTCAAAGACAAATTGCTGAAGTAAACGGTCTCTAATAGGAAACCTGAAAAATCAGTACTGAAAAAAAGTTCATTACTGGCCTGGTTTATGCGGGTGATGGGACACTTTGGACATTTACTCCCCAGAGTTAATAGGAGAGGTGAAGCAAGAGGGGTAGAAGGTGGGGGGGGGGGGGGTCATCTGTCCCTGTCCTGGTGCTGTGATTGCAGATGCTTTGGGTGTGGGCCGACTGCTGTCTTAGCACAGGTGATTAAGAGCTTCCTTGGGGAGCCTTTCAGTCATACCTTGGGGAAATTCGGCCTCGTGGTTCTGCCCAGCCACTTGAAGTTGCTTCTGGGGCTCCATCCATGCCACGATAGAGGCTGGAGGGGAATTTCTCTGGGGTGCTGGGTCACCTCTCTGTCTGTTCAGGATCTTGGATCTCTTTCAACTTAATCAGTCCTGTCAGCATCCAGTTCACTTAATCATTTCTAACTTAAAAAGAAACCCTTGAACCCCACGCCCACCAGTTACCACTCTGTCCTCTCCTTGCCTTCGCTGGCAGTTTCTCAAAAGAGTAGTCTACACCCAATGATCTCCATTTCCTTAGTGTTCCTATCCCCCGCCAATCAAAATGCCAGATTCAGACACCCACTCTACAAAACGCGCAAGCATTATTTAGCCCTGATCCTACCAGACAGCTCACCGATATTGAATCTGGTTGCTCCCAGTCTCCGCCTCTCTTGGCTTTCTGTGTATCACCCTGGCCATGGTTCCTCCTCTAACTCTGAAATACGTCGGTCTCTTTTTCGAGCTTCCCTTTTCATATGATCCCTTAGATATTGAATTTCTTTCAAGACTCAGGTAACATCTCTCCTCCTTCTCTATTCAATTCCTAGATGATCGTGACCATTCCCATGGTTTTAAATACTATCCGTATATCAGCAGTTCCCAGTTTACATTTTCAGCCCGCTGAGCTTCAAGCTCATTTACCCAAATGCCTGATCAACACTTGGATACGGATGTCACACAGACAGCTCGGATGTGACATACCCCTGACGGACACCTTGACATTCCTGATGTTCTGAAACTGGTCTCAGAAAAAACAATTTCACCTAGATATTTTGTTTAAAACAAAAAACAAAAAAAACCAAAAAACAAAAAACCCCCCAAAACCAAAAAACAATAAACAACAACAAAAAAAACCAGGGGTACTGAGTAGCTCAGTCCATTGAATGGCCAACTCTTGATTTCGGCTCAGGTCATGATCCCAGGGTCATGGGATCAAGCCCCGTGTTGGGCTCTGTTCTGAGTGTGGAGCCTGCTTCAGATTCTCTCCCTCCCTCCCTCCCTCCCTCCCTCTCTCTCTCCCCCTCTGCTCCTCTCCTCTGCTAGTGTTCTCTCTCTAAAACAATTTTAAAAATAAAAAATAAGCAGATTTTGATTTGCTTTTTTGCTTCAAGCAACTGTGGTGATGTTTTCACAAACATATAGCTATCTCCAAACTCATCGAGCTGTATACATTAAACACATACAGCTTTTTGTATGTCAGTCATTCCTCAATAAGTCATTTAAAAACCAAAGAAAAAAAGCCTTCACAGTTCTCTTACTCTCAACTCCTACACCCAGCTAATCAGAAACACCTTGTAATTGATGTAAAAAAAAAATCACTCAATTCTCTTCTCCCTAACGCCACATTCTTAATTCAAGCTGTCCCCATCTCTTACAACTCCTCTGGCCAGCTGTGCTGTGCCTCATTTCAGTCCGTTGCCCACATATCCATAGATCCAAATTTACTATGTGGAACAGGTGGATCAGTCAGCTGCTTAAGCCCCAGCGATGCTGGAATGGCTCTATCTCTCATGTATGTATTTCCATGATGCAGTACTATAGAGCAGTGAGAAAAATCGGTTCACGTCTTACATAATGATGTGGATAGACGTCAAACATAATGTTGGGGAAAACCAGCCCACAACAAAAGGCTTTCATGATTTCATTCATGGGAGGCTAATGAAAGGGGCGCGATGGTGGTGGAAGTCAGTGTCGAGTTCGCACGTGGGTTAGTAACCACCATAAGGAATTGCACGGGAAATCTTCTATGACAGCCACCTTCACATCTTTACTTTGTGAAAATTCACCGAACTGCATGGTCAGGATCGGTGCATTTTTCTTTATCTACATATGCTTCAATATAAAGCTTACTTTAAAATCCACATAAAACGTGTTTGGGTCTTTCTTATTTTTTTGAGTTACCACTCTGGGTATATTAAAACTAAGAAATAAAAATGGTAGAATTTTCTGCTGGGTAATTATTGGGTATTTAGAAAAACGCCTAATTGTACCTTCAACTGACACACCAGAGTGATTTCAGAAAGCCTTGGCTAATACGAAAAGTGTGTGTTCTGAATGAATAATATCCTGTTGTTAGAAAAGTAAACATCCAGGCCTATGATTAAATAATGTTAATACAACTATGGTAAAGGAAAGAAATTAAAAAACATCAACAAAGTCTAGAAATACATTACAAGTTCTCTTCTGGTCGCTAGGTTGACAGAAACAGAAACACTCTACTGTTTGAATGGAGGAAATAACAGAGGAAAATAACAGAAGCCACGCTTTGCAAACCATATTTAAACCATGAATGATCCCCCTTGTACTTGTCAGATTACTTTGCAAGAGCTGAGGGCTGATATTTATTATCTCAGGTATCTAGATATAAATAGAGCTTGAACACCGATTTCAGTTTTAGAACTTTGGATTTACTTGGATATATTTCTTTTTTATATTTGTTTGTTTGTTTGTTTGTTCGAGAAGTATAATAGCAGGCATTCCCGGGTGAAAACTCTACCCCAGTAAATAGGACATAGCCTGTAATAACACACAATAATAAATTGATTTTGAATTTACGAGACAAAATGGTAATAAACTTTCAGGACAAATAATGCTTGAAACTTCTCAATCACCAAGTATAGGGGAAAATATAAAGTAACAATTTAGCAAGGCATGTAAATTATAGCATTAATTAAGTTCTTTCAGTGTGAGAGTCATATTTACCTAGACAATACGAAAACATTGAAGACTAATCATTTGGATAGAGGATAAAAATTATTAAGTAGGCAATTAATTATAAGAATTATTAACCTGA